TGACATGATTTCCATTGATTTACCAGCTCCTTTATGCCTAACAAGTTTTCTCTGAGTACTTACTGAGAGATATTGTATACTCAGCCCTAGATTGTCTAGGGATAATATGATTCAAGAACAGAATAATTAAGTAAGAGCAAGAAATACATGCCCATGAAATATATTAGGTTGAGGTGAGAGTAGGATTATCATTTTTTTTCAGCATTAGCCAGGCTTCTATTCTTCCCAGGAGCTTGACCCCAATATGTCCATTTAATGTCTTACTCAGAAGTGGTCTGCTAGGCCTTTGTTACTGGAGAGCTCTACTGGGTTGTAACTGTGGCTGTCCTGGAAGGATAATCTAATGAGGGAGTTCCCATGGCTTATCTCCCCCACATTCCCTTCCACTCCCTTCCATCGTCCCTTCTGCTCTATCTGGTCATTGTCAATTGCTGAACAGTTGATAGCTTCTGTACCTAAACCTTCAATTCACTTCGGACTCTGCCAACTCCCTCCTTTCTTATGATAAGTAAACTGACTTCTACAAATCTTGCTTCCTTCATTCTAAGTAAAGCATCAAGTGAGGGGATGTTAAGGTACTCTATGAATTCTATATGCTTGTATTTTCAGGAATGTTGAAGTAGGCATTTGATCTGTTCTGTTACTTTATTTATTGAGATATAGCTGCAAATTGATCAATCTTTTCCTTAGAGGGTGGTTTTAATCATCTGGTATCATACAGTGGAACACATTATATTCTTTGGTGTAGCTCTCCAGTGGTGCCTGATGTTTGACCAAGTAGAATCTTAGCAGTGACTGAGGATTCCAAGTATCCTTTCTTGTACTATCCCTTGAATGAGTAAGCTTGATACTCACCAAGATGGATTCTGTAAAAGGAGTGTGGATTTTATGTGTGATCCCAGAAGTCTCAGAAAACAACAGTATAAACAGATGGAGATGTGCTTTGTATTTTTTTTTAATGTCTGCATGCCATGATGTTATCATTATGTCTCCCATCTTTTTTGCAAAGCAAAGCAAAACAAAACAAAGCCCAAGTGTTTGTTTGTTTATTTTTCTCTCAGTAAGGTCTTGTACATAGTGAAGTTGTTCATACTTGCCATCTCTTATTAACAAAACACTGCTAGAAGTACTAGCCCAAGTGATCAGAGAAGAACAAATGGAGATCCAGGGATGGTGGCACATGCCTTTGATCCCAGCATTTGTGAGGCAGACGCAGGCAGATCTCTGTGAGTTCCAGCTAGCCTGGCCTGAAGAGTGAGTTCCAGGACAACCAAGGTTATACAGAGAAACCCTGTCTCAAAATAAAATAAAATAAAACCAAAACCAAAACCATAAATAATGAAGGGAGAAATTGGAGCCTAACTATAATGGAAGAAATGAAATGATCCTCCTGTGATCAGAGAAAGGAGAGCTTTGGTCATCCTCGGGAGGCTGCAGTATATACAGTGGCTTTTTTTTTTTTTAAATCTCCATAGCTCTTTTTTTTAAAAAATTTTAATTTAATTACCTATTTTTATTGATTCTTTTAGAATTTCACACCATGCACCCCAATCCCACTCATCTCCCAGTCCCTCTGTATCTGCCCCTCATTCTTGTAGTGTCCCCCGAAAAGGAAAGCTAAAAAACAATAAGGTTAAAAAAAACCAATAATTTAAAACAAGGGAAAAAAACCCACTTTGTTTCTCTGTCTTTCCTGCATCTTCATCGACCCTTCCTGCCTTCATCATAGTGGCACTGGGAGCTGCTGTGTATCGTGCAGTATACCCATTTGTCAAAGCAGCTTTACTTGCAAGCATTCAATGTATAATGAGTTCTTGGTCAGGTTCAAGGACTCTCGGTACACAACCAAACTGGACCCCCAACAACATTCCTTTCAGATATCCTGCTGTTGTTTTGAGTCATGGAAATCGTGTGACTATGATTCCATAGGATCAGTCCCTTCAAACACCCCAGCGATCATAGATGGGGTAGATGTTGGGGTGTGCTGACTTCAAGTCCTGTCTGTGAGCCTGAGTGGCAGCTGAGTCGGTAGCTCCGGGCACTGGGACTACTCCTCTCAGGTGAGGGGTGAAGTCAGCTCTCCCAGGCCCATGGTATGCCTCCCATATTTAATCAAGAACTTAGATTATGCCAGACACTGTCGTCAACCTTACTTTCTCAAATATGGCATTTAGTTACTATAAATATTAATTCTGTTTTGAAGTCACTTTATATCTCTATATCTATCATCTATCTATCTATCTATCTATCTATCTATCTATCTATCTATCTATCTATCTATCTATCTATCTAATAGGAAAAACAGAAAATAAACACCTTACTCATAGCTCTAATTTAAAGAAAACATTTTTATCAGTCCTTCAGTGCCTCTGTGTGTCTTCCACATGGCCTTGTTTCCCTTCCTAGCTCTGGAACCAACTTCTGCCTTGAGTTTTGTTCAGACTGTGACCTTGTTAGCCCTAGGTTTCCATCTGTGTATGAGTTCCAGGGCAACCTCTTCAACTGTACTTGTTTTTGAAGTTGATGTAAGTGAAATTCTATAGTGAAAATTCTCCTTGAACTTAGTGTATTGAAAGTTTATTCCGAGACTCACCAGTTTTTACAAGTACAACTGCAGTTTATCCATGGTTATCACTGAATAATATCAAGTTGGGTGATTAGACAGCAGCTTATTGTACTAATGGATTTGTTCCCATTGCATTTTGTATTTTGCTGTTATGTGGCATGTGGCCCGAACATCCCTGAGCATAGTGGTGTGTTAGTCAGGTTTCTCATCGTTATGACAAAGACCCAAGAATGAAGGTTTAAAGAAGGGAAGATTTAGTCTTTGGTTTACAATCTTAGAAGTTCAGGTGGTGCTCAGGCTGGAACCTCTGCTTCTGCAGCAGCTGTGAGGCAGAGTGTCATAGCAGGGACAAAGTGGTCCAGCAGAGAAGCTTACCTGCTGGAAAGAGGATATAGGAAGAGAAATGAGAGGGGGAGCGGGAAGAAGAAGGGGAGGTTGAGGGAGAAGGAGAAAGCACGTTGGGCAAGGTCCTCAATGACCTACCTCCATGTAGGCACCATCTCTGAAAGTTTCTCCACCTTGAAATATTGTTGTCAGATTAGAACCTGTTGTGCCCATGTCGCAAGACCCCCAAGCTGGTCACCACAGAGCCGATAGCCAATGCAAAACACACAGGGGTTTATTGATAACAAGCAAGCCCAGTCTTGGTCTGTGTCTAACACTTCACACAGCGGGTGGAGGAGGATGCCTGGGGTTTTTAAAGTGAAAAACTGCAAGCAGGGTGGTACAAGCCTTGGTATCATATGATTGGGTGAGGATATGTAACTTTTGAATTTACTGGTTGGGGGTTACAGTTATCATTTTTGGGCAGGCCTGGACAAGTCTCAGGCTTTGTCCTTGAGGTGCCATGGGGGCTGGCTGGCCTTGCACATACTGACTGTGGGGGCTGACTCATGGCCCAGGCTCTGTCCTTGAGCTGCCATGGAGGCTGGCTGGCCTTGCACGTTCAAATTGACCCATGCACATAGCTCTAAGTTGGTGAGGGGTTCCAGACAGTAAAAACTGGCTGAACCTTGAGCACTCAGAGTACGTGCAGAAAGGGAGCTACTCCAAGGACTGTGTCTTTTGTTCATGGCCCTCCCAAAAACTGCCTTCTCAAGTCTCAGGAAACTGAAATTGAGGCCTGATCTCTGAGAGAAAACTGACAGCCTGTTATGGCGTCTGCTTGGTCCTTTCAAACCCACCAGTGGATTAGTCACTGATTTTTGCTAGAATTCTCATTTTGATGATTGGATCCATCATCTGGGGACCATAGCTTTAACACAGGAGATTTTGGGAACATCCTTCCTACCTAAACAATGATTCATGGTCTAGGTTCATTTGTATCTCTCTCTTTCTTCTCTCTCTCTCTCTCTCTCTCTCTCTCTCTCTCTCTCTCTCTCTCTCTCTCTCTCTCTGTGTGTGTGTGTGTGTATGTCTGTCTGCCTAGCTTAGGATGCACCAGAAAAATAAGGATCAATTTTATGAACAACTTGTTTAAACTCAGAGTGATCTGGTGGCATTCTTAACCACAGTACTCAATGCACCCTCATTTTAAAGATGGGGTCTTAGAGAATTTTAAAGTCACTTGCCCAAGAAACAAAGATTCAACAAAGGTCAGGTTGACTAATGCCATTTATTTACTCATTTTTACAAGCTAAATATCTTAGAGTTCTATTTGTGAAATATTAATCGTAGAAGAGTGAGTTCATACCTGATGCTACTCTTACAAGTTATCAGCTGTCAAAATGTAAAAATTAAAGTTTCAGTTTTTGCTTTTCATCTATACTTGATTTAAATTTGTAGTAATTTTTCCTCTAAGGCTATGAATAGAAATGGAAAAAACAATGGATTTTACAGAAGAATAGATCTTTCTCTGTCTTGCTATTTTGTTTTAAGCCTGCAAAATATGGTTAGTAATATGCAACATCTGTAGACTCATTTAATTTCAGTACTAATTAAATATTGAACACTAGATGTGAAACAGATAATGTGTACAACTGGAATTTTATAGGCTACTAAATTCAAGATATCTTTAATGACTTCATGTGTCTATGTCCAAAATGGGGAAAAGTGTTTTGTATGGTTGTGAGCAAAAAGCAGTCCTTGAGCACATTTGCTCTTACAGCCCATGTTTTGACCTGAAAAAGAAAAAAATGGAAGCCTGATGGATTACCAGTGTCCTGGAAAATCTTGGATAAGTTTCTTGGCTAGAAAATTTTCCCACCACATGATATTTTCAAGATAAAATAAAATAAAAAAAAATTCTACTATGTGAGTCATGTCTCTGCAAAAGACTGAATCCCCCTTGTCTAGGGCAAAGGAGAAACATGCTGGCCTATGGAATGTGAGGAAGGACAAGAAATGAAGTTGTAGACTGGGTAAGGGGCAGCTGCATTTCCAACTCTCATTCCTGTGTTTCCTCCTGGCTTACCTCCTTTCTCTTTCGTTGTAGATTGTCTCCTTATGAATGGCAAGGAAAGTTACTCCTCACAGTTCCTGAATTCTACACCCTACAGTATCCTTGAACACTGCTGATGAGTTAATTGATGCTTTCTTGGGAGAAGAGTTAAAGTTTTCCAGTGGAGGATTGGATTCTCTCAGACTGAAAAAGTCACCAGTCTCTGGACCAATCTAAGATTCCCTAAGGATCCTGGGACATGACAGTTTTCTTGGAAGCATTTGAATTTCCAGGGAAAAAAGAATTCTCAAAAGAAGAAGTATGCAGTCTGCAAGAGGTGGAAGAGGAGCTAGATAAACAACAGCTGTTCTCTGTCTCACTTAAATAATCCCCAAGAAGTGTCAGCTCATAATTTACATGTTTTCAAAATATTCCTTAACTGTTATTGCAAAATTAACCTTACAATACTTTATAATTCACCTGAAATCCTTTAGAATCAACAGCAAACACCAGGAAATGAGAAATCTGGTTTAATCCTAGAGTAACCACTTCAAGAAAATGAAAATTTTGATCAAAATTGCATAAGAAAAATCAGAAGGTAAGTACTTTCCTTTGTCTTTTTGCTGCTGTGTATTTCTGTCTATTAAGTCTGAGTAACAAAGCTGTGGTGATAATAGTGTTAGAATCAGAAAATTGATGCGTGTGTTTTCTGGTGCTGTGTAACAATCACAAACTTAGTGGCCTAAAATACCCACCCACCTGTTATCTTACCTATCTTACCTTACCCACCTGTTATCTTACCTATCTTACCTTACCCACCTGTTATCTTACCTATCTTACCTCACCCACCTGTTATCTTACCTATCTTACCTTACCTACCTGTTATCTTACCTATCTTACCTTACCTACCTGTTATCTTACCTATCTTACCTTACTCACCTGTTATCTTACCTATCTTACCTTACCCACCTGTTATCTTACCTATCTTACCTTACCCACCTGTTATCTTACCTATCTTTGGGCTAGAAGTTTGGGCACAGAGTATGTATAGTTAGGAACTGTCACTGTTTTTCTGAACTTGACCTTGGTTCCTGTTCAAAGCTTCCAGGTTGGCAACATTCTTCATTTCTTCCTCATGCCCCCACTGTCTCTATAAGACAGAAGTAGTCTTCAAACCCTTCTGACTCTCCTTGGTACCAAATATGTCTCTGACTTCTCTCAGTAAAAGAGGTTTGTAAAGAGATTATGTGACTAGGATACATCCATGGGGATAGTTTGTTTAAAGGTCAGCTGTGGTATGTAGCATCTGCCATTCTTATTTCACTGGGTCTATGTTTAAATTGAAATGTAACAATATACTAATATTCAGTTCATTCACACAAACATTACTTATCTCTTTGGGGCTACAATATTTCACACACTTGAGGATGCTGAAGGACTAGTCAAATTTAAATTATTGCTTTTTATAATGAGTGCATTTCTATTGGTTGAAAAAAAATTAACATTGATACAATTTTTTTTCACTTGGTCTGTTTAGTCCAAATAAAAATAGAGTCCCCTGAAAAAGATGCTGAAAATTCATGAGGAAGGACATCCATGCATGACAATGTGGCCAGCACATGAGCTAAGACAAGCACATTGCCTTCTGTACTTCCACTGCAGTGCCCTTTGCTCTATACCACACAGTCTTTCTTGGAAGATCTGTCAGAACGGGATACAATTTGTTGAAATTCTTCTACTAGAGCAGGAGGTTGTATAATTAGTTAAATACCTTCATCACCTGAACCTAAGCAAATATAGAGCAGGGCCCACAGTACTAAAGGGAGGTAGGTGGTGATGGATGGAGGAAGAGGTTGATTCCATCTGCACATCGAATGGGAGTTTCTCAATAACTTATAACCTTCAAAAATGTTTACTGTGGCTTGGGATGGGATGAAGGGCACCTTAACTATTGCTATACTTCTGGGTAAATAAATACTGGAAAGGAAGAATATCACTGCTGTGCCATCCCCGAAGGAATGCTTTCATTCTCTAAACAACCTTTGGAGTGAATGTAGCATTGGATATGAAATAAACAACTTCAGACACTGATTACTGTCCCCTCCATCTGCACAATCACCACCATTTCTGACATGACCTAGTTGTTATAATAAATTTCCCTCATACTTAGGTCAAACATTCTCTTATGATCGCCTATGAATTTCCTTCTTGGGCCAATTATCTTAGGTATATTAAATAGTTTAATTCTTCTTTTTAAATATTTTTTAGTCTAATTTTTCTTGTCCCTTAAAATATTCCTGCAAGACTGAGACCTGTGAAGGAGATGGGAGAAAAGCTAAAAAAGAAGAGCCTAATATTTAAATCCTAAGAAAGTTTGGCAATGATGACTGAACTCTTTAAGACAAAGTGATCTCCCAGAAAATTCTACATTCAGGAGTGGGCCTGCCTTAGTTTTTTTGGTGGTGTTTACATTAGATGGTTGTATCCATGGAAAGTGTAGCCTTATAACGAACATTGTTAGATTTCAGAGAACAGGATAAGGGAGCATCAGTCCACTATAGTTCATGAAGTGGTGACCATATTCGCTATCACAGATAGTCATTAAATAATGATCTTCAAGTTGTGGGTTATTGAAAGAGATGATTATGCAAATTTCTGCAACCCTAAAGGGATGATTCTCACTTCTCACACTTTATTTAAAATGTTTAGTTAAACAAATTCACCCTTGCCATTCTGATTGACTCTTCTGTCTTCTTCCAGCAAACACATTGTGCTATATATTTACATTATATACAATACATATATACACACACATACTCACATACACACTGACATAGCAATGGTGCTTACAGGGAGAGAACAGAAGAGGAAATCAGAATGGCAATCAGAATCTATATATACATACATACATGTACACACACACACACACATACACACACACACACACACACACACACATATCCATACACACACAAATAAATATGTATCTGGGTCCCGAACCTCTAATTCTCAATGCCCAACAAATGGTGATTGCTAGTTCCAGACTGTAGAAGTACAGTGGACAAATGACCTCATTAGGATGCTTCGGAGTTAGTGATTTCCTAATAGATGAATTGGACACTAACTATTCTGAGTCACAAGGATTCTTTTTCCCTGGCAGCTTGGAGCTAAGCTAGAAGACTTATATTAATTGCTTGTGACTTGTTTGGGTTGGTTCCTGCTAGTCCATTTAAAGGGAGGGGTTTGGAGAACACATTCCTTAGAATAGCCACAGATTGTCCAGATGAGAAGAATACTCTGAAACATTTATGCTACAATATAGCAAGAGCTAGAACGGCCCTGGAAGCCTGCAGTCACTCTCTGGGTTATCTTGCCAGTTGAGAGGGATTTACAATTTTTTTTTTTTAACATCAAGCACACTGACAGAAAAAAGCAATCATCTTAAAAAGCAAGAGTAGTCTGAAGAAAGAATGGTGCAGAAAGATAGAACTTTCAGGTTTTTCCTCAAAACCTCACACCCATGTCTCCTTCTGAGCTTACTTAGGTTGCCACATTGCAGGGTCTTAATTTCTGTGGTGAGGGCGAAGGCACATGAGCATATCCAGAAGTGGGAGGGGCTGTCCTCTGTAAGGTCCCTCCGGAGTCATTTCTAGATGGTTATCATCATGCCACATGCACTTAGAATGCTTGGTGATTTTCCAAGGTAAACAGGGCACATCTTCTTGGAGGGGTCACTTATTTCTTCAACAATCTGAAAGAAAAGTTCTTGTAAATGGAATCAAACCAAGATACTTCATGCACCGCAATACAAAATTCATCTGAATTTTAAAAATAAAGGACAAGACTTCAAAGATACAGGCACTTTAGATTCCTGTTCGGAGTCTGCACTAAATGCTGCCATTCAGTTTTCAGTTATGCCTTATTGCAAAAAGTTTGAAAAGGATTATCTAAAGTGTTAGAATGTGTATCACATTCTCTTACGTTTTTGGTCTAAAACTGGACAGGACAACATTGGAGACTGTCAACTTCTGAATGTTTTGACAGCTGTCTGAGGATATCACGAAACCAGATAATTGTATGAATGAGAACACCCAATGCAAAGTAAGACTCAAGGCAACCAGAGTTCCTCAAGTGGAAGACCTTCACTTGTTGTGGTGATGAGCCAAGACTGCTTCTTGAACACTGTTTATTGAGTGTCCGCTATGTAGTAGATGTTGTTCTAAAAGTTGTAATGTAGTGGTGAAGAGAAAATTCTCTTCTAGGTCATCAGGAGATGGAAGAGGGTAAGAGGGTGAGAGAGAGGAAGAATTTGAAAACAATGTATTCTTTCATTTTTTCCTTTCTGAGATAGGGTCTTACTACATAGCTCTGGCTGGCCTGGAACTCACTGTGTAGGCCAGGATAGCCTCTCACTCACAGAGATCCACCTGTCCTTGACTCCTGAGTTCTAGGCTTAAAGGCATGCACCACCATGCCCAGCACAATGCTTTTTTAAAATGTGTATGAAACAGAAAAAAAAAGTGTTACAAGAAGGAAGAAAGAATATAGACAAAACTAATAAATAAGAAAACAAGCAAAACCTTCAAAATAGTATGATATTCAGACAGCTAGGATAGATGTGGAGCATGAAAAGATCACAGCCTGCTTGGTGTGACAAGGAGCAGTGGCCTCTCTAAGAGGACATTCCATCTGTGAGAAGGAAGTTGTCCTGAAAATAAGAAAAACAGCAACCAGTCCAAAGAATATGAAACAATTCAAGCTTTTAGAGGGACAGAGAGAAAGGCAATGTGGGCCCAGGATGGATGAGAGGAGCCTTGTTGGTGAGATAGGCAGAGGAGAGGCCATAGACGGCCCAGTGGTCCTGGGAAGAACTATTCCAGCAACAAGGGAAGTTCCTGGAGAGTCTTAAGCTAGAGTATCATAACCATACTGAAGAGCAAGACTGCCTCTTCCTGAACAACTGGGTTAAAAACTATATAATGACAATGGATATGCATAAACATAAAGCACAACACGGACAAATGGATTCTATTAAAATTAATCTTATTTAAAGAAGGGGAAGGCACAATTGGGGCTGGGGGTACTTGAAGTATATGAGGAAAGATCTTTTTAAAATTATTTATTTATTTATTTATTTATTTATTTATTTATTTTCAAGACAGGGTTTCTCTGTGTAGCTTTGTGCCTTTCCTGGAACTCACTCTGTAGACCAGGCTGACCTCGAACTCACAGAGATCTGCCTGGCTCTGCCTCCTGAGTGCTGGGATTAAAAGTGTGTGCCACCACTGCCTGGCTCTAGGTCTTTTATTTAAATAAGAGGCTACATTTTATTAGGAGGAAAATGTTACACATATAATGGAATTTCAGTCAAAAGAATTGAAAAGGGGTCTTGGGTGTATTATAATGATAAGCCCTTTTAGACACACACAGAGCCTGATTTTATCTATGCACGTATATTGAATACGATTTATGTATAAAATATATAAATCATGAATGTTAATCACATGTAGAGCTCAGACTTTGCTGGTGTTATATACAATGACATTCTGTTCATTTATACTTTAATCTACTTTAGTCTAAAACGTAGGGAAGTATGTTTGAACAGAGTTTGAACAGCCCATTAAAATGGCATTTAATTAGACCCAAACTCAAATGTACCAGCACAGTGCTCCTTTGATGTGGGAATTAAAAGGGGGTGGGGACTGCACCTTGAAAATGAAGACTCACTTCTTTGTGCCATGGGGAAAGAAGGGAAATGGGAGAGTGCCAACCCATTTGCAAGTTCCAAATAGAGTCCAACCCACCTTGGGCTGATTGGCCTCAGAGAGTGAACCACACAAGTAGGGAAAAACCAGGGACTGACTCAGCTCTAGCCAGGGCTGCTTCCCCTGCTGAGGTCTGTTCCTGGCATGACCTCTGCTGTTGTCCTCGGATCTTGCTTCCCCCTCCTTTGTCACTGTGGAGAAACAGGAAGGAATGTTTATTAACAAGGCTGGCTGGTGTCACACCCAAGGCAATATCAGATTTTTACCTCTCCTGGGCCTGGGAAGAGGTCCAAAGATCAAGGGCAGCTCCCCGGTTAGTAAGAGGCAAGAACAAACCTCAGAGAACACACGGCCTGCTTTACCACAGCCCCAGAGTGCCGTGACAGGAGGTCTCCTGAGTGTGATCTCATCCATTCCTCCTGTTCATCCTGGGGCTCTAACCGTGTAACAGGCCCACTGGGACCCTAATCCCAAAGGAGCTTTGCCCAAGATGATGGAAGAGCAATGTTTGGATCCTGACTTCCCTTTCAGGGATGTGTCTCCTTGGCAGATGCTTGTAACAGCAGCGTTAACTGCCCAGGTGAGCTCCTCAGCTCCCTTATCTTTCTTCCCACTATGTCTTCCAGTCCAATGATGTACTCATATTTAATCAGCTCCAGTAATGGGCCTCCTTATGCACTGGAGAGGTGGGGGGAGAAAAGAGAATGGAGAGGAAGTTAAAGGAGGAGAAAATGGCACGAGAGAGAGAGAGAGAGAGAGAGAGAGAGAGAGAGAGAGAGAGAGAGAGAGAG